AAATAAATAACTATTTAAATATAACATTTATTACGATTTTCATTTAACTAATTTACCCATTTGGGGGTTACTTTACTATTGTAATACTTTTCTATGAAGAGTTACTTTATGGTCATAATGAGACTATTCTCTTAGAATTTCTATAGGAAAACAAACAAAAAACACCTAGAAACAGCAGATTCTCTACATCATAGTCAGCATCAATTCATTTTACTAAGGGACAGATTAAATCTAAAGTAAATGTCTGAGATTAGTAACCTAAGTAAAGCATTTTAAACAACAAAGGCAGTGAAGTTAAAGACCAAAACCTACCTGGACTACATCCAAAACCATGCCAGCTGAAACTGTTCCAAAACCAGCTAGCAAAAACGGCACAAGTATTTGCAATGCCATGACACCGCTGGATTCCTTCGGTAATTTGTGGTTTGCCTCCACAGTGGCATCTTCATCACCATCACTAGATATATCTTCATCCTGTAACATGGCAGTGGTTTCTGAAGTCTCCCTTCCATCACAGTAATTGTAGTTGGCATAGTCGTCATACCTTTGGCTACAACCTGATGGGGCGTGCCCACTATTGCCATGGAAAGACGGCTCTGAGAAACTGTGATACTCCATGTGTTGCTCAGATCTAGTACTAAAAGTCTGTGCTGCAGCTGATAATCCATCTTGCCAGATGCCGTTTGCTTTTTTGTGCCTGTCTTCTTGGTTTTTCTGGTAAATTACTGGAACCATACTCAATAATAAGTTTAAAAACTTATCAGATTGAATTGTATTTAAGCTTAAAGTCCAGTCTACAAAACCTCCTCCGCTCCTAGGACCACCACTTGTTTTATTAGTAACAGATCTTCCTTTACTATTAGTCATATTGTCATCGCAGAAGACCCTGGACTCCTTAGATCTCAAGCTTCATGAACCGGAGCACATGAATCAGAACCATGCGAACGCTGGTTAAAAGATGCTGACTTCATTTCGCAGGAAATAATGTGTCCACTAATAAAAGATGTTTAGAAGTTCCACACTGGGGTTGGAACTGAAAAAGAAAAAATAAAACAATCTTTAAAAATCAGATTAACTATCTCGATACTTAAGATTTTCATAGTTAAAGTTATAAAACACATATGTTCTTAAACCAGCCCTAAGCTACCAACACTACATTTTGTGAGCTTAACAAATAACTGCTTTGTGCTATACAACTGCTTTGTACACAGAAATATACAGAGCTATTTTTTGTGCTCAATCTTGGTTAAAAGATTTTATCTTTGCATACTTTATGTAATTAATACCTATGTAAAGTCTTGAACTGTCCGTGAAGTTCTTCATTAGACAAATTTATTAAAATGATGCCTCTATTACTATAGAAAGGTCTCAAAATAAAATTGCTACAACCTTTTACATATGTCACTACATAATAAAAGGGATATGACATTATGTTTTAAGCATATTAAATAATAAACCATGTTACCTTATTTACATCTTAACATACATTTTGTTATTAAATTATGAAGAGACAATGATAATATTTGCCATAAAAACATTTGGTAAACATCCTGAATACTGTACAGTGCATTTATTTATAATATGAAATTAGGCTAGAGTCATATTTGTAGTTCCAACACATAAAAATTTCATTATAATTGATTTACGACTATAATCCCTCCATTATCTAGGAAATAACAAAAATGAAAAGCGATTACAAATACTCAGTTAATCCTCTATTTTGCAAGCCAACCAAAAGAAAGCTTATAATGCACTTTTCACTTAATATCCTTCTCAAAGTCAGCTCTGACCCACAATTCCAGAGTAAGCCCCTGATTGGCTGGTCAACTTTGAACTAAGAGACAGAGACACATTCATATTATAGCTAGTTTGAGAGTGATGGGCACTGAAGCTGCAAGGTAATACCCCACCTGCCCAGGTAGAGAGCCTATTTGTACAGACGCTTTCAAAGCTGTCGCAACGGATTTAAAGGCTTCAGGAGCTTCTCAGGAAGACTAAAGCCTGTCTTATACTTCCAAGAGTATCCAAGATCAAGAAATTGGCACTGTTTTGATAAGAGACAGATGGTCCCACTGCCTAAATGGACTGCCAACCCACCGAGCTAGGCTAAGAATCGTTGCTGCCATTACTGCTGCTTTTAATGAAAACTATATTCTTCATTATTTGTTTTCAAAGCCTCAGAATACCTCTCTCCTTGGATAAAAAGATCAATACTAAGGAGTGGCAAAGAGAAAAAAGGAAGAATCTATGTAGGGGACAAGTGGGTGGTAGGGCATGGTTCATCGACATCATCATTCACTCTCTTTCTCTTGTGATGGTGGAGGGGTCTGGGAATTCTTACTGGGGAACATTCTTAAAATTAGATTCTAGGACCCCAGACCTATTGACTCAGAATAACCATGTTTGAGGCCTATAACTTTTTATTTTTTTGAACATTTATAAAAGTTTATTTGAGCCAAACTCGAAGCCTATAAATCTTTTTTAAAGTTCCTCAAGTGATTCCAGTGCAGACTTCCTATGGACTTGAACTGAGAAATGAGTCGATTAAATACTAGTTGCCACTTTTTGCCACCTGCAGACTGATTAGTATAGAGAAAGCCAGTGTTTAAAGAAAATTGGATGAATGGAACCAATGTCCACAGTGAAGCAGAGAATAAACTAAGCAGTCCCAGAAAGAGAGAGAAGGCCTGAGAACCTTCCATGCAGTGAGAGGGTCAGCTACATGTCTGGAACAGATGAGATGCCCAGCAACCTGAAATGAGTCAGAATGAGTTTCTGTTCCTTTGACCCATTCGTTTCTTTTTACACAGTGAGCATTTCACTGCCTCAAAGACATCTCTAATCAAACAAAATACAAAATAAACCTCAAAGAGATTGAGCTTTCAGACAAGTAGATTCCACTGAAAGAAAAGTGATGAATATAGGCAGTTTCTTCTTCCTCTTGAAGTAGAATCATCAGGTTGATCAAAATGGAAATGCAGAGAAATGTAGATAAACCAGAAAAAAAGGATGACATTATCTGTATCACCATTCGGTCACCCTAAAGTTCAGAAACTTTACCAACTAACCTCGGGAAACTTGACCAACTAACTAAATAGAAAAATGGGAGAGGAGGAAAGAGAGGGGGAGGAATTTCCCGTCATGTCTCTTAGAATATTTGCAGGACATGGCTACACCGAGTTGGCCGGCGGCATCCAGATGCAGAGACACATCCAGTTCATACTTTTGCTCCTAGTATTCTTACTTCGACATAACGACCCAGAAGGTTAAATGGATATATAGTCAACCAGGGCCACCATGCACAGAGCTCATGCAGAGCCTTTGTGTAAATTTAAAAGCAGAGTGCCTCCCAGAAAAAGGAAGGCTGGTGAATGGAGCCGTGGACTAGATTTTGGCCCCACTCCATCCCCCCCAGCCAAGCGCCCTCATGCACTGCAGAATCTGCATGATCTTTCACAGCAGACTGTGCAGCTGGGTAAAATATTAAACCAGGCTTAGAGAACATAACACACAAGGGGTGGACACATATCTTTGTTGCTGTATGCTCAGCATCTTACCCCCGTTTTTTAGCTAATGGTATCCCCATCTCCTGTATGAAACCATCCTTCCCCTATTCCATGAGGTTCTGGTCAGTCTATCAATTACTTCCAGACCACATAATCACAGGTGGCTTGAGAAGGACCTGAGTCCTTCCTTGAAATGTGATATATTTGTTGACTTACTTATTTCCTGACTAGATTACACAATTAACAAAATAGGCACCATTCCTGATTCTAATGGGGAGAAAAAAAAAATCACATGAGCAAATAAATAAATGAGATAATTTGCGATAAAGGCTACGCAAGAAAGAGTTGATTTAACAAGGAATGAATGACTTACAAGGCTACTTTAGAGTGGAAGGCCTCTGGGGGAGTTTTGTCACTTCCCTTTGGAATAATGCAATTCTGAAGCGGTCACTATGTCTTCCTCCTTGAAAAGTTCCCTCTATCATACCACCACCAACACCACTTGGAGGAAAACCCATCAACATGAGAAGATCCACCGAAAGAGAGAATCAAAGTTAGGCCATAAGGAGAGGGTCCTCACGACATAATCAGAACCTCTATTTCATTTATTTAAAGCCCACTCCGTCCTGCTCTTCCCAGTCATAGGGGCCAGTAACTCCTTCATTGTTTATACTAGTCTGAGTGGTGTTTCTGTCCTAACAGCTATTTTTTAATAATAGAATTCGGTAGCAGAAATTATCTTGCTGCAGGTGCATACCATGGACCACAGGTCGCCACCTTGCACAGAGGAAAAAGTGTTTGTTTTTATTTTATCCTTCATTTCATTTAGTTATTGAACGATCATCAGTTATTCTAATGCTTGCTTACTGATGAGGTCTATTACCTCCATTAAAGACCTCTTAAACTTTCTTCCTTTCAAGAAATCACTCAGAAATTCTTCCTGTTGAATGGGTTGTATTCTGTGGTTGATTTAAAATGAGTAATGTATACACTCAGAAATAAAAATAAGTAAAAATTTATTTCATGTTATACTAAATTGTTACTCATCCATGAATGGGTAGAAACAAGTAAAAAAATTAAAAATACCTTTATAAAACTAGTCAAATTTTCTCCTGGCTTTGAGGTATTTAAACTAAAGAATGCTAGTGGAGATACTTATAGGTCACTCTTTAGCTACTTACTAGGTTTTAGTAATCTAGTACCAACACAGCCAAAA